CAACACACAGCCCTCAGCAGGAGGCAACCAAAACCTTACGCATATGCTTATAGAAGGCCATGCTGGGTGGTCAGGAGGAAGGAGGTGACTGCATAGACATGTAAGGGGTCTCAAGCTAGAGACCAGCTTCACGCCTTCTTCCTCCCACTAGCAGAGCAGCAGAATAGGCAAGGTACGTACCGTGCGCAGCAGGACTTTGGCCATCTGATACCAGGGCTAGCTGCTTGAGGAGGGATGTGCCTAGGAGAACAACTCTGTACAAATGTATTCAGCCCTCAGTCCTGAAACGTGCTAGCAGCAACATGTTCCTGGCAAAGAATGGAAAATGCACATGGTAAAAAGTATTAATAGAGTGATCTAGTGATTTGTTCTTTTTTTCCTCTTTCCTTGTGTGCATGTGTGGTGCCTGGGCTCTTCAATAGGTTCACAAAGTGTTTCCCGATGGACTAGCATCTCAGGAAGGAACTATTCAGAAAGGAGATGAAGTACTATCCATTAACGGAAAGTCTCTTAAGGGTGCGACTCACAGTGATGCCTCAGCAATCATGCGGCAGGCTCGACAACCCAGACAAGCTGTTATTGTCACTAGAAAATCTAAAGATGGAGAAAAAAATCTCAATGTTTCAATCAACTCTAGTACATCTTCAGTAGCAAGTGATGCCTCACAGGAGTCTGGTGAGTAAGTTCAGTGGCATTACCTTGCAGCCCCCACCTGCTAAGTGTTTACTCATCACCTGAAATCCTGGGTGTTTATAAAGCAGCTCAGCATTGGCTGCGTAAATCTGAGAACCATGATTAAAGACAGCACAACTAAAAAAACATTCCTGAAACAGAAATTTGGAATAACTTTGTTGAAAAGGGGAGAATTAATGGATTTCTAAAATAAAGGAACCCTCTGAAAAAAAGCAAACCAAAAACCCCAAGTGTGATCCTCTGTATGAATTTCTGTAGACACACAAAGATTATTATCATAGTGACACATCTAATTAAAGTTATAATGACAACTCAGTGAACAGGGATTCTTTATTCTAATATTATTAGTTTCTAGTTTATAAGACTTCTCTGTGAAAGAGAATTTTCATTTGAACAAACAACGCGCTATTGTTTGATATACCAGGTGGCTACAGCTGAAACAGAGCAAAGTCAGATTTTTTGCAGAACCTTTCCCATTCTTAAGATATTTTTGTAGGGTTTTTTTGTAAAGCATAATCTGGAGATCTGTAGCTTTATGTACTGCAAATAAACATTAGCAGCTTTGTAGCTGAGAACAATATCAAAACTAACATCAAGTCAAATAGGTTTACCTTAAATTTTGTTCATGGACCAGATTTTTCCAAGTCTAGTAAACATCACCAGCTTCCATTTTTATATTTCTGTTCTGCCATGAATTCGAACAAAACAGAAGTTCATTTTTTGTAACAGATGTTTTAGCTTTTCAGACTATGTGGTGCCCATCTGCTAACTTTCCATTTGTTTCCAGCAACTGAAGATACAATCTGCACTGTAACTCTAGAAAAAACACCTGCTGGTTTAGGATTCAGTCTGGAAGGAGGGAAGGGCTCTATTCATGGAGATAAACCCATCATCATCAACAGGATATTTAAAGGTAAACACACATAAATATGTACACAGCAGGTTCTTAGCTGACGCGAACTTGTGCAGTTCATAACCAACTGCTGATTTATACCCATGAAAATGGTATTTTTTGTAAATGCAGTGTTACCCTGTGCAGTGCCAGTAATTTGTTGCCTGCTGAGACCAGGTGGCTTATATCAAACATTCTGGTGATCCTTAAACAGCAAAAGATATGTTAAAGACTCCTCCACACAAAGAATTAAGGGAAATTAATTTTCTCTCTCCAGGGACTGCATTAGAACAAAGCAGCTCTGTTCAGCCTGGTGATGAGCTATTACAAGTGCACACAACTGCCATGCAAGGACTCACTCGTTTTGAAGCATGGAATACAATCAAGGCATTACCTGATGGGCCCATCACAGCTATCATCAAGAGGAAGAATCCAAGCTCTGTTACCACCAAGTCATCTGAAACTTTGTAAGAGAAGGAATTAGACTACTGCCAGTATTACAAACAAAAAGGGATTTTATTACATGCAGCCATTTGGCTAGCACTGCAAGATACTCAGAAAGTGTGTATGAAAAGTACATGATCTTACTGCCAGTTACAGAGCAAGCTGTCTGGGATAAAGTAAGATGTGCACAGAATGTGCATGATTCTTATTTCAACATTCAGAAACAGATGTTACAAAGTGTAGAATTATAAAATAATGACTTTATTAATAATATAGTGGTTGTAATAAAATATGTCACAGCTATAGTACTCTCCTATTTTAAGCCATTAACTTAACAAATATCAGAAGCACACCCTGTGTTAAGTTTTCAGTCCTACTCTACAAGTCTTGCTCCCTTCCTTATGTTCCCAGGACGAAGAAGTGTGTCTACAAGCCTACAGCTAAACACTGCAGCAAAGAAAAAGCCTTAGGGAATATGTAAAGGGCAGAGAATGGGGGATGCAACCTTGTGTGTCAAAACAACAATGTGCCCTGGAATACTCCAGCTTTTCTATTCAAACCACGGAACAGCCAGAGCAGTCAAAACCTGTCTAGGGTAACTTTCTACTAGCAGTTGACAGAGCCATCTCAACTCCAGCAGGCAAACGTGGACGGGGTGGGGGGGAAGGAGCATCTCGCGCTATTGCAAGGGTGAGGCAGGAAGCTGAGGGTAACATAGCAGAGGTTTCTCTAACCTTCCCCTGGCCAGAGGCACTACAGCAGGAGAGTAACAAGGCCATTTAAAACCAACTCTCACCTTCTTACCACACACATTTTTTGAAATGCCTGTGTGTTAATTTTGTAAGGGAAAGTAATAGAGTGGGAATTAAAAGGTCTGAATCCAAATGCTTATTCTAGAAACACTAAATAACTTGGAGATAAATCTATGCTTCAAATGCCGCTATTGATGGCACGCTCTAAGCACTGCATGGAATTCTACCAGCAGCAGCACCTGTACCTGTGCCAAGATGGTCTTGTGCACTCGTTTGGTCTTCTCTGACCTACTTCACTGAAGGGAGAGGTGCAACATCAGGATGGAAGTAGTGACTTGCCAGTTGAAAGCCAGATGGCTGCACTGGTTGTTGTCCTTGGCTGTTCACCTTCCCATAGTCAGGAATTTGCTGCACCCTTCTTTGATTCTGTAGTTTCACCAAACCATAAACTGCAGGAGTTCAGAAGCTATTCCCGTGCACTTAACATGTCACAGAGACAGCAACTGAGAGAAAGGGAAGTAGGATAGACAGCAGAAGGTATTAACTGAATAACAAATAGCTTGCTTTGGCCTTTCCTCACAGGTCAACTCTATGGTAATCCTTGAAAGAACACTCTTGACAAGCCACTTGCTCCCCCACTTCCAAACTGCTTCCCACTTGAGTTGTCTTCTCCAAAACCCAACCTAACAATGCTCACAACAAAATTTCTACAAACTGGGTAGCAACCAGAATAGGACAAAAATGTGAAAGGGAATATTCTTGTACATTTTTTTAACTGGTACCTACCTAGAACTCTTTGAATATTTTTTTTTTTGTAGAATTTCTTGTATTTAACTTAATCTGCATTATTGGCTTCAGCTTCACAAAGTCTACGTAAATGCCTGGTGCATATAAAAGATGCTAAGATTTTTCAACCACTTGCCCATACCACCAATGATAAGAAAAAACATGGATGATTTCTGTACAGCAAAGCAGGCCCGAACTCTTGAGCACAGTTAGACGTATTTCCTGTAAAAGACAGATCACACTTTTTGGTCAGCTTCATAACTTTAACAACAGATACTGGACTAGCTACAGCCGTGGCACAGAATGCCTTAATTGCTGCAGTGCCATCTGCTGCTGAAGTGCCCTCACCTGAAACAGCTATTTATTTTCATCGGTTTATGAACTGACACAGGACCACCAAGACAGATTTGAACTTGGTTTTTTTCCAGAGGTGCTCTTCTGACTTCACTTCCAAAGTTTTTCAGTTTTTGCACGCGTCTGCATTTCTTGGCATCTGCCCAAAATCAAAAGAAGTCAAAACATGCTGTGTGACAGGCAGCGTGTCTCACTGGGGAGTCCTCCAAGATCTTACAAGATGATCTTTGCAAGACATTCCCATCTCCCATTTGGCAAGGCAGAAGGCTGAATGTTAAGGGCTCTCTCTTAATCCCTTCTGGATAGAAGGTGTTGAGCACTCAGAAAAGGGATCCTTAAATTATTCTAAGG